TTCTGTGATGTCCTGTGCCCCCTCGGCTTCCCCCGTCCCGCCGATGGGCTGGGGAGAGGCCAGGAAGGTGCCGAACTCTTCACCCAGGGCCACAGCTCGCTCTCACATCCCATTTCTTTAATATTTCTATAATTCCTGATAGAATTCCCGATGCCTGGGAAAGGCAACCACCACCCCCCTCTCCAAGGAGGACCAGGAGGAAGATCTGAGGAGCTCCAGGGCAGCCATCCTCAGCTCTGTGCTGGGAGAGGTGGGGACCAAACCCTCCCCAACGCCCGTCCCAGCTGCGGGAAGGAGAGGGGAAGAGATCTGGGAACAACCAGGAGGGATCCCCTCGGGCAGAGATGTGATGAGATGTGCAAGGAGAAGGTTGGAGACCAGAAGGAGACTTCTCCCAGAGGTGCACAGCGACAAGCTGAAACACCGTAAACCCCAATCACATGAGGAAAAACGTTTTCAACATGTGGGTGCTCAAATATCGGAACAGGGACCTACATGCTGTGGACTCTCCATCCCCATCCATTGAGTATCTCCACCCCTGGAGACAGCCAAGCACCTCCATCCTGATCTGAGTGGACCTGCTTTGGGTGGGGTTGGACCAGAGACCTCAGAGTTCCCTTTGAACCTCAGTTGCTCCATGGTCGTGTGGCCCTGGTGAATCAGTTTAAATTTTAATCTCAATTCCTACCATTAGCAAGGTGATGGCTTCCAATCCTCATGGTCTCCTAGAAGGATTCAAGGTAAAAGGATCAAAGGGCATCGCCTGGGATGGGCAGCAAGCAGCCAAGCCCAGAATAAATAAATACACACAGAGAAAGAATTAATGTTGCAAAATAACCCACATCATTCCAATACTGAAGCATTAGAAGCCCGCTGACAGCATCATAAAAATAAAACATTTTTTCCCACCAGGCTACTCAAGAGTCTCCAAAGTTGGAGCTTTCAGTTCACCTCAGTCCTCTATTGCGATGCACCAGAGCCCATCCTGGAGATATGTCAGGCTTACGCGGGGAACAAGATGATGAAATGTCCCCAACCGCTCAACAGGCAGATCTTTTTTTCCGCTCTCCCCCGAGGAGATGCCCCAGTTGTTGCCGTGGGTTTTGGCACAAGCAAGTCCTTCGTTGGCAGCTTTGGGTTTTAGCTTACATCCGTCACCTTGAGAGCTTTCTTCCCAAGATGAGTCTTGTCTCCTCTCCGGTGGGGGTGAGGACCCCCGGGGGTGTCACTCCAGCTTCTTCACCATGTAGGGCCCCTCCAGCTCATAGCCAATCTTCCTGTAGTAGTTCCTTGTACCAACACCTGCGAGAAGAACGACAAAAAGGTTGAATTCAGCGTGATGAGTTGGAGAAGCCAGGGCCAGGCAGGGAAGTCACTTCCACGAAGGGACGGTGCTGAAAGGAGCATCTGGACTGATGACGGTGTCTTTAAGGGGGACACCCAGGATTCTCTCTGCTCTGAACCACGTACCCCATCCTTTGTGTTGAGAAAGGCTGGGAGCTGCGAGGGAGAGAGGAATCGACACAGGAGCCCCGGTGAAACGCGAGTCGAGAGTTCAGAGCCCCCAGGTAGAACAAAACCCAACGCCAGACCCTCGAGGCGAGGCGGCCCAGCTGCAGGCATCGTTACCAGGAACTGAAGGGCTCTAAAACCCGACAAACTCTGTCCAACAGCTCCTAGAAATGAGCTCAGCTCCACTTCACATAGACAAGTGGCCTCCGCAGCCGCAATGCAATTTCCTCGGTGAAGAGGACGGCTCCGAACGCTGCCAGTTCTCAGCCTCTTCCCTCTCCTTCTTCTCTTAACGAGACCCTGCAGCGTCTGCGCCCAGGGCCAGCCCAGCCCCACCGAGCAGGGCTGCCTTTCCCACAGCATCCTGCGACAGGACCGGTCCGGCACAGCATCCTTCCCCCTCACCTTACCTCATTCCTCACAGACGCAGACATTAGTCATCAGGGGAAGGGAGGAGGAATTCAGCGGCATCGCTGTCGGCAGTGGTGCAGCTGGTGGAGAGGGATAGACGGACGGAGAGGACACTGCTCTCCGTCAAGAGAAGCAGCTCCTCTTTCCTCTAATCTCATCCCTCCAGCCAGTTCCTGGAAACTGCGGCACTTGCAGATGGTTCTCCAGGAATCGGCTGCACCTCCTGGGCAGGGAGCGACCGGCGCAGCCGCTAACCCCTTCCTGCCCACGCCTCGCTGCCGTAATTTTCCCCATTGCTGCTTTGCCAGATTTGTTTAAAATAGCAGTAATGGATTTCCTGAAGGCACATTACAACAGCTTCCAGACGGCTTGAGCACCACAGCTCCAGACAAACCCCCAGCCAGCAGCATTATGTTCATTTACGGTACGGAACAAACACCTGAAACCCAGACCTGAGACATCTTTGTGCCTCTCATTCCAGCTGGAGCTGGGAAGAGCTTGGAAAAAAACCACAAAGAGCCCCAAACTGGGGAGCACCTGAGGAAATTTACTCCCAAGTGGTGGCAAAGCCCCCGTGACATCGCAGCAGAGCATCGTCCCCAACTAAAAACATCCTGAAGGGACCCAAATTCCCTCTGCTTCAGCGTGAACCTGAAGCCAAGGAAAAACCCAAGTCCACCACCCACCCGTCCGCTCCTCTCGTCCCCATCTCTGCCCAGGGGGTTGGGATCTCTGACCTGGGGTAAACAATCACCTTTATTGATCGTTTGGGTTTGTTTGGTCCTCTGGGTTCGTTAGCAGGGATGCTGGGGTCCAACATACGGATTCTGGCAGTAAAACAGCAGCGACACCTCATCCGCAGCCCAGAACAACTTGGTTAAAAGGACGAGTGGAACCTAGAGCTGAAGAACAACCCTGACAATCGAGTAATCCAGCGGATGGTTTTAAAAACACCTCACTCAGAGCTATTTAACACTTCCCATCTTCTTCCTAAAGCTCTTGGGAAACGCATGGATTTTAAAAGAAGTTGAGGTTGCGTCGGAGCATCGCGTGCTGCCTCCATTCATCTCCGAGCTATCAAACAGCACGAGTTACACACAGCTCCTCCTTGTTTGAAGGCAACGGGTTCAAGGCATTAACAAGAACAGGATGGTTTGGGTGGGAAGGGACCATGGAGGTCATCGAGTCCCAAAGCCTCATCCAGCCTGGCCTTGAACCCCTCAAGGGATGGGGCATCCACAGCTTCCCTGGGCAACCTGGGCCCCCTTCAGAGGTTGGACCGCGTTTGATCTGCACCTGGAGCAAAGCTCCTGGTTTAGGTTCCTCCAAAATGAGCTGTGCTGCACGGCAGGAGAACATCTCCACGAGCCGAAGTGATGCACAGCAGGAGAGGCTGAGGGTGCGATTCCCTTCAGCTGCTCTGCACCCAAAGGCTCACAAGCCCAGCCTGCAACCTTCACCAGGATGCCACCAACACAGAGAAACCTCCTTGGAGCCAAAGCAGATCAGGGAAATCACAACCAGCACGGAGAACGGGCATTCTGAGATCAGCAGAGAAGAAAGGGGGTAAGGAAGCATGGAATGGAAAGCAAGCTGACAGCCACAAACCATCCCCAGCCTTCCTCATCCACGAGAGAAGTGCCACAGAGTCGGCACCGCCAAACCAAACCAAAGATCTGCGGGACACGAATAGCTGCCCGTAACTCACGCAGAAGGAATCCATCTTCACACACCTCTCCGTTGGGAAATTCTCACAACTTTGTATGAACACACGGTCCAAAAAAACCCAACGTGTGGGATTATGCTGCTGGCTTCTGATCACATGGAGAGAATGAACAGTCAGTCCTAAGAAAATCAGAGCTGCGGCTATTAAAACACCGCGCCGCCTCGTCTGCTCACCAGTAATTCCAGGGGTAAGCGCTGGAGAAGCGCCTCGTAATGCCCAGCGTGCACCCAACACTTCTCCATCACGCAGACCTGAAAGGGAGGTCTCGAGGGCACAAGCTCTCCTCCCGGATCTTTGCTGCTCTCATTTCCAGCGGAGAGAGCACAGAGCTGGTGGGACCCGGTCAGGCAGCACTCTTCCCACCGACCCAAGCCTCACCCGTGCTTTTCCAGGAAAGAGGAACATCACCCAAGAAATAGCACAAAAGAAACATCATCCAAGGAATATCACGCAGGAGGGGAAGAGTGAGGCCAAAAGCTGACCCAAGAAGCTTTCTGACTTTCCAGGCCGCACTTCTCATTCTAGGTCTTTGAACAGGGTGTTAAATATTGTGTATCAAACCCTGCAGGAGGGTTTAGGTTGAACCCCGCAGAGCAGATCTCAACCCAGCCCATCCAGACTCACCGCCAGTGAGCTGGGTGAAGGGCAGGGGCTCCGATCGCGCCTGCCTGGATGGAAACCAGTGGCCAGGGACCAGCTGAGGCTTTTTGGAAGTGTCCCTCACCGCAATCTTCAAATGACACATCCCCTGGCAGCAGCTGCTGGTTAATTTAATCACCTTTTGTTCTCTTCTTTTGGAAGCAGCTGAATAACAGTGAAGCCTACTGATAACCCCCCAAACTTGGATTTTCACTGCAACATTTCTACCTCAAAATTAATTAATTAAATAAAAAATGTCTGTTTCTAGCAGGGGACAGAGAAAAGCCCCCGCAGCACCAGGGTTAAACTCTTCTGGCCCAGAAGGACGAGCAGGTGGTATGTGACATGCTCTGCTGCCCAGAGGATGGCAGAAATCATCTCTCATTGCCCACGCGCAGCAACCCCTGCCCGTGACCTTCTCTGTGCCAGCCCGTACCTGTGCCCTTCCACTCAGCCCTGCCAGGCAGAAATACTGCCATGCAGCATCCCAGGCTGAGCATCCTCCAAGATTCCTTCACCGCAGCCCACTGGGCACAGAACGAAGTGAAGATGAGATTGTTTTCAGGATCATTAAAGACCTGCTAACAGCCCATAAAATTTCCACAGCAGAGACAGGGGCACACCAGAGATTCTCTCTACGCAGGCAACTCTGCATCGTTCGGCAACAACTAACATCTTTTCCGAAGAGGCACAGTCAAGGCATATCGGGTCTTGCAGCTTCCTGCTTCCTCAAAATATTTCTTCGAAGCAGTTAGCGGGGCCCCGTGTGTGCGGCAGCGAACCTGACTGAGCTGAACCGATTGCCTCGATCCATGAGGGTTGGAACTGGATGATCTTCAAGGTCCCTTCCAACCCAAACCATTCTGGGATGCTGTGATTCCATGATCCAGTGCCACCCCCCTGCCATGGGCAGGGACACCTCCCACCAGCCCAGGTTGCCCAAAGCCTCATCCAGCCTGGCCTTGAACCCCTCCAGGGATGGGGCATCCACAGCTTCTCTGGGCACCCTGGGCCACTGCCTCACCCCCCGCACAGGAAAACATTTCTTCCTCACATCTCATCTCCATCTCCCCTCTTCCAGCTTCAAACCGTTCCCCCTCGTCCTGTCCCTGCACCCCCTGATCCAGAGCCCCCCCATCTCTCCTGTAGCCCCCTTTCAGCACTGGAAGGTGCTGGAAGGTCTCCCCGGAGCCTTCTCTTCTCCAGGCTGCACACCCCCAACTCTGCCATGCTGAAAGATAACTTTGGGGTTTTGAAAAAGCACAGAGAGGACACAACAAACACTTCCACAGTCACCTATGGTACTTCCACGGACACCGGCAGAACACAGCGGTGGCGCAGAGCTGGGCAGAAGGCTTGGAAGCCGCTGCAGCCACGGGACAGACCGCGAACATCTGCATTTCCAACACAGCTACAAAAGCCAAGAAGGAAAACAAGAGCTCTGAGAGAATCTCCTTGGCCTCCAAGAGCGTCTCCCATGATCAGAGCAAGGCTGCCAAAGCACGAGGAGGATTCAAAGCCCATCTGTCGTTTGGAGATCGTGCAGCTCACATTCCAGAGTCTCTCCAGCCTCGGGGTTGGGTGACTTGGAGCCTGACGCCAGCGGTGAGCGAGCAAACACAATCCTCTTCCTAACGTGGGTCTTGGTGGGGACTCCAGCTACTAAAAGACAAGTTTTTGATTTTTCTTCATACTCCTTGCTTTGACCTCCACCAAGTCCAGGAAGACACTTCACTAGGTGTCAAACGCCTGGTGGTGACATCTGCTTCTACCCAAAATCTAGACTCCACTTAGAACTTCAAAGCAAAGCTGACACTTCCGAGCACTTGGCAGTCACCTGGGTGAGCGTCCAGAGCTTGCTTCGGAGCCAGCCCTCGCTCTTCAAGTTGGTAAGACCTTCTGACATGAGGAAGGGCCAAAACTGGGGTTCCAAATAGATAGAAGTGGCAGGAAAAGAAGATGAGAGAATGTTTTCTTGCCTATCATGTACAGGATGCTGACCGAAAAACCACCC